GGGCATAGGTAAGCAGGTGTCTCAGCCAATGCAGTCCATGGGCATAGGTAAGCAGGTGTCTCAGCCAATGCAGTCCATGGGCATAGGTAAGCAGGTGTTCTGGTGATCCCTGCTAGCACAGTGTAAGAAAAACTTCCTACAGGAAATTTATTTAATTTCTTTTTTTTATTATTTATTTAATTTTCTGTCTGTTTATCCGTCTGTCTGTCTGTCTGTCCGTCCATCAGTCATCCACCGCTCCTTCCATAAAGAGCCACAAGTCACTCACTGGGAAGCCGCCTTCTTTCTGTGTTTTGCCCACCGCATGTTGTGAGCACAGTGATTTGTGAGAGCTGAGTAGCACCCTGCTCCCCCCCCCAGGTTCCAGAGCTGCACCGAATGCTGTGGGGCCAGCCAGTGCTGCAGCTGCCGGACAACCAGCCGCTGAAGGCGACAACGTCTTTTCCAAAATCCTGCCAGGAGGTGCAGCTGAACAAGCCGGCAAACTGGGTGATGGTATGACACAGCAGACCAACACAAGCCTCTGTGTCTGTGATCGGAAGGTTGTTGGTGTGAGCCCGGCCTCGGCAGAATAGCCACAAGTTTGTGGGCCCTCGAGTGAGGCCCGTAACTCCTAGCTCTAGAGGTGTCACTGCAGGTGGCTGCCTTTGCTACCAAGCTTGCTCTGACCTACATATGTGTCACATAGAGAGCAAGATAAGGTTGGCGAGAACAGAATTTCCCCATAGAAATCAATAAAGTGTCATTATTATTATTATTATAAAAGCACAGAAATCAGACCATTTACAAATCAGCCCATTTGAGCTGCTTCAGTACACATGCATAGTTCATATAGTAAAACCAGTGAATGGTAAATTAAAGTACACATAAATAAAATTGCTTATTGATAAAATGCTTTCATGTACTTATAACCAGAAGCACACCTATATTCATTACTACGTTTTATCGGGCTGATAGATCCAGTAAAAACCTTTTTATGTTTTATGGGTGCCTAATAAATTACTACATGTTACATAAGTATAATTATTACAGAAGAACTTTGGTCTGAAGTAGACAGACTGAGGTCCTCTTTGTAAATAATCTTTGTCTGTCCATCCTTGCCAGCCATGTCAGCTATTGGCAAGAAATTCACTTCTTTCTGGTGAGCTTCGAAAGGGTGAGTATCAATGTGTATCACACAAGCCAGGCTTGGCTAGGGGCTTGTGCTTTTTTGTCTGTGTGTGTCTGGATATGTGTTCCTGGGTGGCTGGACAGGCAGTAAGTGAGATTCCTAATGTGGTAGTGGGGGTGTGGATATGTGACTGTGTGGGTATGCTGCTGGAGGAATCGCAGACACATGCTTCATGTATGCTTCATGTATGCTGACATCCCATAATGTAATGAACACACACATATAGACACACAGTCCCAGCAGCACACCTGGCTTGCTTTTTATATATTTGTTTACACTTTACCTTTGTAAGCTTACTAATTCATCTCACCTTTGGGTGACCTTTTTATGCACCTTTATGCACAATTTTATGTTTTATGCACTTTTCTTTGTACTACTATTTGTACCTGTCACCATGTCTCTTAAAAATCAGTTGAACAAATGTATTATTTACTTGTGATTAAGCGGAGATTTCACCTTGTGTCCTGCAGATCTGGTGAGAGAGAGCGACGCGAGGCTTCGTACTAGAAAAACCTATGATCCCACCTTCACCGCCCCCCCATCCAAGAAAGGCAGGCGGGGGCAGCAACTCCCAAGCAGTGTGAGTGCCGAAAGCTTCACTCTCTGCTTTTCCACAAATTGATATAAAAGTTTATTTTCCGATAATAAGGGAAGAAATCCCTGAAGCCATTTCTCTTTTTTTCTGGGACTGGGAAAATTTGTACTGTCTTTAACAAGAGTAATTATATAGGAAACATTTAACCGACTTGCTAGCTGCAGCTATGCTGTGGTTTATATTTTTAATTAACATGATCCTGTATGTGTATAATTATTTATCCTACACTCAGATGGCTGTAAACAGGATCAAACTTCACTAACCTTCTAGCATGTCGTTAATTTACTTTCTCAGGAACTGCTCACCGCTGTTGCACTTTGTAAGCTACATGCAGGAATCTGTACTGCATCCCACCAGCAGTAGCCCTTAGCCATAATTCTTTAGCTTGTGTCTTTACTGTGACTTTATAACAGTCACTGTCATTTTTCTCAGTCACAGTCTCACAAATTCTCTCAGAAAACCTGGCCAGTCAGCCAAGTGTGGAGGTGATTGGAGATTGTGTGCCAGTTGGTTGGCTCACAGAGGTAGAATTCTCATGTTTTTTGGATAAGTTGAGTATTCTTATGAGGTTGTGGGTTTTAAAGTGGCATTTCAGAATGCAGGAAATGAAGTAAAGCAGAATCATCACTGTTCACTTGGGTTAGATATAGTATTCACCTGTTCAAGTTGTGGTCGTCAAACAGACAAGATAGTTCAGTCTTCCATTGCAGTTTAGCTGCTTACAGTACCTATAATTTGAGGCAGCGCCTTCTCCCATCAGCCAAATTCATCCCAAATATGTAAGCATCACAGACGATCACTTATAGGTGGGATACGAGTCACTGATCCATCATTCAGCCTCATTTTATATTTTACTGATTTTCCTTATCGGCTGTGTTACCAGGCCAAGCCAGCAGTGAGAGGCTGCACTGTCACACATTCAGCTGCAGCTTCTCCCTCTGGAATAATGTCACAGAACCAAGCTCAGCTCACATGGGTGCTCTGCCATTCAACAAAAGCCACTTCAGCCTTTCATTTCACAAGCTCTTGGTTTATGTGAGTCATCGTGATTATCTCTTCTGGGCAACCAAAATAGGAAGGACATCTTTAACAAACTCCAGTCCACTTTTGGTAAAGTCAATAAATAAATATTGGTACCTTATGTATCTTACTTTTGTACTAGAAATTGTAACATACTGACTCATATGATCACACATAATCATAAGTAAAGTTAGATATTTTCTTGTATACTTTATTTCATAACTGAAAAATATTTATTAGTAAAGAGTCCAGCCTTTCAGGTTTAAATATGACCACGACCCCCAGTTAGGTGTTTTTGTGTGAGTCGGCAATGGGGGCAGGTTTCCAGTCATAATGCAGCATAGGTGTGTGGGGATGGGTAGGCTTTCAGTCACAATGCAGTAGAGGTTTGTAGGGGAGGGGCAGGCTTCCAATCTCACTGCAGAATAGGTGTATGGGGGAGGGTCATGCGTCCAATCTCACTGCAGCATTGGTGTGAGGAGGAGGGGCAGGCTTCCAATCTCACTGCAGAATAGGTGTATGGGGGAGGGTCATGCGTCCAATCTCACTGCAGCATTGGTGTGAGGAGGAGGGGCAGGCTTCCAATCTCACTGCAGAATAGGTGTATGGGGGAGGGTCATGCGTCCAATCTCACTGCAGCATTGGTGTGAGGAGGAGGGGCAGGCTTCCAATCTCACTGCAGAATAGGCGTATGGGG